TTGAGTTGCCAAAAGCATTGTTTATAACTAAATTGATCAAAATGGATTTTCAAATATTAAATCTTTGAATTGATCGTGAATGTTCAGTGTTTCAGAAACTGGGCATAAATCTTTTACTGACGGTTATCAAGTAGCCTCCATATGAATCAAGATCTACATAGAATGACATCGCGGCTATGTTCACGATATTGACAAAATGTATGTAGTAATATATATTTGCCTCCATCTTTAGCAGCAGATTCGCGTTAATTATATTAAAACTAATTTAGTACTCACGCCGAGACTTGTCGATTCAGAATAAGTTTTTAGTCGTTATTCATTAATGCGGTACAAAATTTTTGAAAATGAAGAAAAAAAACACGCGGAAATCTCCAAAAACGTATAATTTACGAAATATTTTACAAAAACACAAAGGAGATGTTATCGTTTTGCTATTTAATATTTTATTAAATGTAATAATTTATTACTTACATGACTGTGGCCATGATAAAAAATAAGGAACAAAACCCATCTGAAAAAAGTAGCTTTTTATGTGAGAAGGTGTCAAGCAAGCTGACGGTAAATCTGATGTTAAGTGATACCGCGCTCGACGAGTTGCAGATGCGTTGACAACTCATAATAAAGTGGGCCCCGGCTACCTCACTCACCAGACGGAACGCGCAAGCATCTCCGCTCCACTCTACTCCGGTCTTCTGTGAGGGTGTGGTACTTACCTGGACGGATTAAAGGCTTTAGGCTGTTATAATATTAATGATTATTTAAATAATATCATACTCTGGTAATGAATTGATCGCTCCAGGCTCTTTCAATCAGAGTTCATATATTGTATTTATAATATGTTCATGTCAAACTGTTTATTTAAAAAAAAAAGCCCGCTGAGTTTCCTTCGCCGGTTCGCCGAGCACAGTGGCTTTCTTTTCCGAACCGGTGATAGTATTTTGACTATCAATCAATAAGCGAATGTAATACTCCTATGTTGAATAAATATATTTGATTTTTATTTTGGATCTGTCCATTCGTGCAACAGTGAAGACTGTTTAGTGGACCTAACCCATCTGTCACGTGTCTACTATTAACTAAACGTTTCCAGCGTAGGTAAATATCCTCGCGTTTAATGAAATGACCCAGCATAGTTTGAATCGAGTTTATTGCAAAATAATATGAAATTACATACAAAACTGTCTACCGGGCTAGTATTTGTGGCGAATGGCGGTTTCGCGGCTCCGCCTGTTTAGTTGATACATGAAACAACATGTTTTGAACGATATACTGTGCCGATGTGCCATAGAGAACATTACGCAACTATATAATGTAGCTATTCCATATCAAACGATTAATTCGTTATTCGCTCCTGACGCTATGTATTTAATGCCACCCATGGAAATCTGCAACACCCGTAGTGTTGTAAATGCGTTGCAACATTTTAATGAACTGAGCTTTTAATGCATCTGATAATAATCTTAAAAAAAGGCTTACTTCCAAATCAGTCGTTGGTAATAATAATCCTTAAGTTTTTTAAACGATGCTTTGCTGTATAGATTGATTCTCAAAAGCTTTTATAAAATATTTACGCAAAACAGATAAAGATCAGTTCTGTAAAGAATTTACAATTTCTGTGCAGATTCTGCTGAATAAATTTACAAGTAGGTAATGTTTAATTCAAATAAATTGCTGCTATGTAAAAGATCTTCTGGCTTGGCTAACGACGTCGCAGACCAATTAAAATTCCTATGTAGAATACCACACGTTATCGTGTACAGAAGGTTGTAATAATTAATATGTTATGAATGCACAACCGTGCAATACCGCTATTGGAGTCTATTAGTTACATTGTTACCTCATTAATAGCAAACCTTATTTCTGTTGACTACATGATGCGAGGTTTCCGCTATCCTGACATGACAAAGACGCAGTACTGATGTTGAGATGTCTCATGACTTGTCCGGTTTTAGAAGTTAGAAGCCAACTTTTTCTAAGGTTGTCAACGAATCTGCAAATCACTTACCGGAAATCACTTACCATCTGCTAAATCGCCTGCCAACTGACAACTTTTCACATCATTTCAGTCTGTTTGAGTCCACTGCTCAACATAGGCCTCCCCCACAGACTGCCACGAAGCATGATCCTGAGCCACCTGCATCCATCGACTTCCCGCATACTTTGCACTTCACATAAATATATATTTATACATAATAAATATATTTATATAAATATACATATTTTATTAAACCGGGATAATTTTAACCCGATGAAATGTATAATAATTTTAGGTTCTTGGTGATCGCATGCATCTTATGCATGTTCTCTTTATATGCATGTTCTTGTGATATGCAGGTGAAAAATAATTAATCAATTGATTTCGTCGTCTAAACTTTGGACGATCACATAATTTTCGTTGAATAAAGAGTTTAGACTCTAAAGCAATTGAGGCAAGAGGGAATAGTCTAATGATATCTTAAATTAATTAGAGGTAGTTTATTTAGTTGTTGCATCGCCCCTTAACATCAGATGGGATGGAGGTAAAACACTGGTCAGTCAGTTTCTTCATCAGTTTTTCAAAAGTAATCGATTTCATTTAGAATGTCACAAATGTTTAAATTGGCTATTTCAATGGTTTATCACAGCCTCCTGTTACGGATTTTTATGACGAAGACATGCATAATTCAAAAACCGATAATGCCAAATTGAGATAAAGTGGCCCATAAAGGACCATTAACGCCTTGCGGGACGCTTGGGGTGGGAATTGTAAAAAATGGTTGCCAGTGAGCCAAGTTCATCCGTTCGGGCAGTTGACCTAATCTTTCAATAATTAAATAACTAGTACCTGGAGGACCGAGCTTTGCTCGTTTTTTTTTTTTTTGGTAAATCGCGTATTTTGGAAATAAAAAAAATTTTAAATAAAGAAAGCAATGATCTGGTATAGAAAAAAGTAACTTATTTATTTATTTATTATATACTTTATTGTACACCACAAAGAATTTGATACAATTAGTATAAAATAAGTCTTAAAAGCTATTTCAAAAGGTATTTCCTGTATCGCATTGTGAACTGCTCGCTGACACGTGTTAAGTCCACTTTTGAAGTGAATCGTAATTTAATGCAATGTGAACGGATTCACCGCCCGTTAGATTTCCTGCTTCTTGATGTCATATCACAAATAAATTAAAGTGTAAAAAATATCTAACATAGATGTTTATAAAATGCAGTTATTATTGCTTGCGATAAACACACGTTTTACATTGATTTGATAATAGGCGCTAATAATAATTGAAATTGCTTGTACAATATAATGTTATAGCGGCAAATGGCAGATTTAATTGTGATGACCTAGACTAACTGTGATATTACCTTTATGACAAGAAATATCACAATAGTATTTGTGATTAATAACTGATAATAAAAGAAATCTAACGCTATGAAAAGTAGGTGTCGCAGTTGTTAAGCGATTCCAACACGAAACAAGTATTTGTGGGACATTTGCCTCGGTGTGTCTGTTTCCAGCAGTACTAAATGAAACTATATTTACTGATTAATCGCGTTTATTTTTAATATCAGTTCCCGACGTTTCGAAAGTTTGTATGTCATAGTTACGCCGGGCTGCCGTCAGTTTTTAAATTATTAAATTATGCGTCGATATACGCGGAACGAGCTAATTGTATTTTGACATACATTAGTGGTTCGCATGGGCCTGGATTTAATTTGATCAATGATCTCAAGCTGATGGTAGCACCCAACACTCGTCTCTATTGAAATTCGGGTGTTTCAATTTCAATAGTCTCGCGAATCATCCTTGGGAGGAATTTGTGTTAGTTTGCAAGAATTTCTGATCCATCAAACTGATGTAGTGGTTGACGCGATTTAAAGTGTGTTGACATACTGCAGACTTGTTTAATATGTTATGTCAGCTGTACGAGTATGTTCCTGCACGCGGATTTTTATTTTTCTTTTTTTATTTTTGTTTGACCTATATAAGATAGCTTCATTCACATTCAAGCTATAGATATACCACTTGACAGATGGCAAAAACTGAGTAATCTTCTTAGGCGGCTTTTAGAATATGTTAATCGAAGCCTACTTCAAGATATAGCCAAGGTGACTCCTTTGACATATATGGTATCAGGAAGTACTAATCTTCTACTTCTTTTTCCGGACATCATGTTGAAACAGTATACCCTTTGTAAATTCCACAATTGTGGCGAATCCAATGACACCTAATATTTTGAAATCCGTCAAAAGCTTAGCACTGTAGATCGTGCCGAGAATACTATCCTCCATTGGCAGTCGAATAAGAAGATTGAGGAACCAATTCGCCAAAACGATGTGATCATCTTACTGTCATTGAATTTTGAATTGAAAAACATAGTTAAAACGATTTACAACTTGAATCAGATGACGTGCCGACCCCATTATGTGGGTATATAAGGACAGGACTCAGGGCGATGGTGATTTGTGATTACAAAGCTATTTCTTACTGCTCTGCTATTACCTTCTTGCGTTGGATAAGTTAACTTTGATTATAAGTTTACTCGAAGGCGGAATCACACCCTAATCCACAGGAGCCTTATATTTTTCTATAGTAGTACCCTTTCTCATCTGCCGACCCGATGGCGTTATAGTCGACCTGTCTGCCGCTAGAGGGTGTGGGATTGATCCCCACTGCTGGACGAATATGGTGTGACTTCTGCTTATTCTTCAAACATTTGTAAGATTAAAGTAGATAGATAATGCATTGTTGTGCACAATGTGTTACTTACAATTCACATGATACGCACATAAATATTATGTGTCTCTGTATAAAATAATGTAGTCGATTACCAAAAACCCAATATTCAATATTCCAATCTTGTATTCGATGACGCGGCCGCATTGCATAACATAAACAAAGAAGAATTGAATAGAGGCATGTAGAAAAGTAGTTTCGAATAGGTTAGATTTGTCTGCGTTTCCTTTAAGGAATTAAAGTGCACGGTGTTAGGGCCACGCAGCAGCCTGTTGCACGAATGGGCAGGCTCGTCCGGGTAAGTACCACGACCTCACAGAAAACCGGCGTAAAGTGGAAGTATAATACTTTCGCGTTTCCTCTGGTGAGTGAGTGAGGTAGCCGGAGCACAATTTTCAAAAGGTTGTCAACACTCTGCAAATCCTCGGGTGTAGCAAATGTCCACGGGCGGCGGTATTCACTTCACATCAGGTGAAACGTCTGCTCGTTTGACAACATTTCACATAAAAAAAAATTAAAAGTATATCTATGTGTTAAATCAACGTATGAGCTTTCCCCAGTAAAAAAATAAATTTTTGGGAGCCGTTTTTCAAAATTGAAAAAAAATTAAGAAAAATAATGATATAATGTATAACGTAAGTTAAAAACCAAGAAATATTTTTTTTTAATTTGTACAATTTAAATGCGCCATTACACGTACATTCTTTATAGGCTAATATTTTAAGTTTAAAACTTACCTTTTCACTTTATTAGAAGACAGAATACACAGATTTATCACATGTACTTTACGAATACGTGTTATAAACAATTTCTAATATATAGGTCAAATACACTACGCTAATTATATTGAAATACTAAAAACATTCATCATATTTTTTTTATTTTATATCGAATGCAAAATGAAACACAATTTTCGTAATTACAAAACAAATTAGGAAATTGTGAAGTCCGCCAATCCGCTGTGAGATCGCGTGGTGGACTATGCCCAAATACCTTCTGTACAGATGAGGCCTTTGCCCATCAGTGGGACGTATATAGGCTGTTACATTACTTTGAAGACGACGTCATGACCGATCAAGAGAAAAGAGAACCCCAACACTATAATGACCCCACAGCTATATATATATATATATATATATCTTATCAACTAATCTTTACATTTGCAGACTATAGCGAAGGAGGCAGTCATGTCCCCGGGCGCCCCGGCTGCACCACCAGCTAACCCATCATTAGAGGACGAGCGCACGGAACTGCTCGGCTCCTTGACCACACAGCAGCAGCAGAGAACCAGCGCCAGGGTCATAAAGAAGCTCAGACTTGAGCCGCCGGTCGACAAGAGAGGTATCTCCTTCTGAACGCTTTATTTAGCATTAAGTGACATCTATTTTTCAAGAGCCGTGATAGCTCAGTGTCCGGGCGCTCGCCTTTAATTCAATATATCCGAGCAACCTGAGTTCGATCCCCGGTGCCGGCACCAATAAAGTTTTTAACTTTAAGTGCTGACTTATCACGTGCTCCGCGGTGAAGGAAAACATCGTGAGGAAACCTGCATATTTTAAAAATAATAACAAAAAAATATTTTTCGAAGATATGTGAAGTCCGCCAATCCGCAGTAGGGCCGCGTGGTGGACTATGCCCCTCTGTATGGAGGAGGCCTTTGCCCTGCAGTGGGACATGTATAGGCTGTTACTTTACTTTACTTTACATCTATTTAAATTTTGACAAGTAGTGAGTATGTGTAAAAGTAGCGCCTCTTTAGTTTCTTTTTTACTACAAGCAGAGACAGTACTTTTTTTAACCGACTTCAAAAGGAGGAGGTTCTCAATTCGAATGAATTTTTTTTATGTTTGTTACCTCAGAACTTTTGACACAGTGCACTGATTTTGATGATTCTTTTTTTTATTTGAAAGCTGGTGCTTCCCATCTGGTCCCATATTAATTTCATTGGCATTGGATCTTGGGCTCCGGAGATACTTGGGGAACTCCCGAAAATCAATTATAAATTGAATTACAGAGCGAGATATTTGAAGACGTTTTTGTTTTTAGTCTGTAAAAAAAATTGTTATTTAATGTAAACTACAAGAAAAGGACCAAATTCTAAAAACCTTCACCTTCGGCTGTTACACGAAGGGGATAGTACCGCGATCTCAATGTATTATATTTTTACATTGATTTAGTACATATTATTTGCCGGAACTTTTATGATTCCATATTAAAATCTTTAGCAAACGTATCCTTTTAGAGACACCGGAATGCGAAACGCCAAGCAAAGACCTCGACAAGGAGGCGCCGGCGTTCCCCACGGTTAAGCAGCGAATGCCCAAAGCGCTCTGGTCTGCCGACGAGAAGAGTCTCTTCTTCGAGGCCCTGAACGATTACGGGAAGGATTTCGACGCCATCACGGCCTATATACGCGCCAAAATGAAGAAGAAGGGGATGCCGGACGCCAACTTGAAGACGAAGACGCAAGTCAGCCACTTTTACTACAGGACATGGCACAAGCTGTCGAAGCACGTGCACTTCGACGAGAGTAAGCGTTTCTATATTTTTAAACGACTTCAAAAAAGACTCGATTCGACTGTATGTTTTTTTATGTTCGTTACGTCGATGATTCTTTTTTTTTTTAATTTTGCTAAATATATAACTTGGAGGAACAACTTAATTTTTGACTCCACTGGTGGCGTCCATCGCCAGCGGTGGACACTTACTATTGGGTGGCCCGCCTGCTCGTTTGCCTCCGTTTTCATAAAAAAGTGCGTGTGTGTGTGTGTGTGTACTTATTTACTTTGTGTACTAAGATGTTGTACTTCTTTGGCGTAACAGAACAAAAATATCCAAAGATTTCATCCAGTTTGTTTGTAAAAGGAATGATAATGTAATAAAAAACATACCGACCACAAATCTACGAATGCACTTAATTTTTTTTTTAATGATAAAAGTCACTTTTATCTTGAGTTTTTACCATTCATCACTATATATCATAATTTTAAATGACATACACATAAACATTTATGAATAATTATGAAGTGTAACTTCAAGAATCCTATTGATTTTTTGTTTTCACGCGAATGTATAATACATTGCGAAATGAAACTATTTTACGGAGTCTGTCCCGTGACCGTGAACGTTGGAAAGGGTTCGAAGCGTCGGGAATTTGAAAATCTAATTCGATGTTATAAAACCCGTAAAATAGTTTAATTTCAAGAATCCTAACTGTGGTAGGGCCACGCAGCAGCCTCGGCTGTTGCATGAATGGGCCGCCTCATCCGGGTAAGTACCACGACCTCACAGAAGACCGGCGTGAAGTGCAAGTATGACAAATACTTTCACGTTTCATCTGTTGAGTGGGGGTAGCCGGAGCCCAATTTCCAAAAGGTTGTCAACGCATCTGCAACCCTCTGTAGTAGATGTCCGTGGGCGGCGGTATTCACTTAACAAGTGAAACTTCGAGTGCCACGTATTCACTCTTGCTCTGTCTCTTTCTATTCCCCCTACCCAGGAGCGTTGAACGCTCAACGCAGCAGTGCTTTCATTCCCCTCCATGACAGCGTTAAACGTTTAACGCGACCGCGTTGGAAGTCGCATTAGAAGTTTCACTTCAAGAATCCCCCCGCAGACGTGAAGAAAGTCGCCCAGGAGCTGTACGCCCTGATCAACTACGGCGAGCTCAGGCGGAAGCTGACCTCCGTAAACGAGAAGACCTGCGCCCGCCTCGGGGAGATGGTGCGCGGCGGCAGCATGGCGGTGCGCGCGCGGGGGCGCACCCTGCGAGTGCGCACGCCCATGTGCCGCGCGCTGCGACGTCTCAACCACATAGCCGGTAAGCTGACAGCCTATATACGTCCCACTGCTGGGCGAAGGCCCCTTCTATACGCAAGGTTTTAGGGTATAGTCCAGCACGCGATCCCACTGCGGGTTGGCGGACTTCACATATCTTCGAAATATTTTTTTTGTTATTATGTAATACGTTTAATAAGGACGTTTTACATACAAAATAAATTTCATATGCACAAACACTCAGATCCGAAACGATTAACTGTGGGCCACACAAATAGTTGTCTCTTGTGGAAATGACACGGCAATGTTTGTTGTTGCATGAATGGGCAGGTCCGTCCGGGTGTGCACCACTACCGGACAGAACACCGTCGCGAAGTGGAACTTTTCTAATTCTGCGTTTCGTCTGGTGATTGAGGTAATCGGGGTGCACTCTGCTAAAAGGTGGCAACGTATGTGCAGCCTTACGGGTGTTGCAAATGTAATCGCTTAGCATCGGGTGTACCGCCAGTTTCATGATTGAACTAAATTATGATGCTGCTGAACAAATTGTAGATACCATGAAGTAACACACACACACACACATGGACCCACACACACACACATGGACCCCCACACACACACACACACACACACACACACACACACACACACACACCACACACACACACACACACACACACACACACACACACACACACACACACACACTCACGCGCACGCACGCACGCACGCACGCACGCACGCGCACGCACGCACGCACGCACGCACGCACGCACGCACGCACGCACGCAAACGGTCGCGAAGTAACTGCTAACACGTGGCATCGGGGTTTTATCGTTTTTTAATTATGATTTTTCGAACCCCCTTTCCAGCAGTCACGTTCACGGGACAGACTGACGCCCGGTTTCTAAAACACTTGAGCACGCGTCTCGATGCCAAAGCAACTCGGAAATTAAATTAAAACGGGCTAAAATCCGTAAACTAGTTTCATTTCATACGTATAATATTAGCGTCAAATCAAGGAATCAGTACTCGAATAACTCTTGAACCATTCAAGTTGGAAAAAATCACGATGGACCTTTTTTGTAGAGCGTTAAATTTGCTACATGAATATTCTTGTGTCGACATAATCCGTTCATTAGTTCACGACCTCCCAAGTCATTTTTATTAAAACTTTAGCTCTCATGGGGGCCGGGTTGGTTTAAAAACAAGGGCTGCAATTCAATACGATTTTTTATATACAGCGTGTCGTTACCATCGCGACAATAAATGAACACACGTCTAACGCAACTTACCAATAATCAAAAAAAAATATTAACGTTTAACAAAATCCATAATTAAAAAAAAATATTTTTCAAACAAACTAATTAAGTAAAAAAGAAACAAAATTTGTAACATCCTATACAACGAGCGCCACAGCGTCGCATTACAAGCCTCTCCTTCTAACAGTATGTTTTGTCTCTTTTAAATTCATTCAACCCATTCATATGCTTTGTGACCTTTACAAATGAACTTTACGTTACAGTTTTATACGTAAGGATGTTCTAAAATTCTTTGTTTTGGAAAATTTTATAACTCGGTTAATATTGATGTTTAAAGAATGTAAATGTTTAATATAATTTTTAAAAGTTATCCTCTATATGTGTGTTCATTTATTGTCGCCATGGTAACGACACGCTGTATATTTGAAATCTACTTAGGAAGAAAGTTTCGAACATACCCTAAACTAGGACCGCTCTAGTAGCCCTAATAATAGATAACATTAGATCTCAGCCTCTGACCTACCTAAGAGTTTCTCAATAATTATTGAACTTTCTGCTATACATTAAATAATTTAACATACTAAACGAATAATATTTTTATGTTTAATGGTAATAGCTAATTATGTAATTTAATATCAAATTTGTATTGCATGCTAAAGTCAGCTGAATATGTTGCACCAAATGATAATTAAGATCACAAGTGCCGTATTCTGGTAATAAAGACATTCATTCAATGAAATGTATATTTCTTATTTCGATGAATAAATGATTTGAATTTGAATTATGTTTCTTATGTCGATGAATAAATGATTTTGATTTATTTTTGCTATCGATAGTTCACAGCACCATTGTTTCAATCCAGGTATTGATGGACGTGAAGTTCTATTTCGCCAATACACCTTCACGTCCTTCACGTATGAAATAGTCTTCTCTTGTCACAGCACTGCGCAATAGTATAAACATATTGGCTAGTATGTGTTATCTCTTCACTCAGCAACGTTATTTAGAATGGCCGGGTCTATCCAAATGTGGAAACTAAATTCTTCACGGATTGAGTATTAGTTTTTTATACTTTCTGGACTGCGTAACTTGAGATAATACGAGTTGTCGCTGTTGTACTACTAATACGCTTATCAATATCTGCTTAAGAACAACAACGCGAGAAGAAGTTCGCCCTCCACGTTGGACCGAGGCCAGGTGCTGAGATCCACCTGCCCGTAGTGAGCCCCAGCGAGCCCTTGTCCAGCCATAAAATCTGCTTCTCTTCTTACCTGGAGCGCATGGGTTCGCTGAGGGACAAAGATGGTGGTGGTAAGTTGTAAAGTTTCTTTAGGAGTGTTGAGTAATGAAGGGATGATTTAATGAAAGATATACTTCTGTTAAGATGTTATATTTTACTAGTCTTCAGAAAAACAACAATTTAGACAAAGTAATGAAATGACCCGTTACAAAGTAGAGAATTACAAGCTACCAGCAGTCCCCCGCCCGCAACGCTGGGTCATACCACCTTCTTTTAAAGTAAAGTAAAGTAACAGCCTATACATGTCCCTCTGCTGGCAAAGGCCTCCTCTATAGAGAGGGTATCAGGGCATAGCCCACCACGCGGCCCCACTCCGTATTGTTGGACTTCACATATCTTCGAAATATATTTTTTTTGTTATTATTTCGAAAATATGCAGGTTTCCTCACGATGTTTTCCTTCACCGCGGAGCACGTGATAAGTCAGCACTTAAAGTTAAAAAATTCATTGGTGCCGGCACCGGGGATCGAACTCAGGTTGCTCGAGTATATTGAACTAAAGGCGAACGCCCGGACACTGAGCTATCACGGCTCTGCTATCACGCACCTTCTTTAAATCAAAAAAAATATATGTTCCCTTACTTACTACCTTATTACGGTATAATTGTTATTGCGACCGGTTCTGTAGTTTTCGCAGTATAACCGCTACAACCTAATTGAAAAGTGATTCACATGACACAACTCAAAAGTATGAACTTTTGAAACTACTTTTAACTGTAGTAGGGTCACTTAGCAGGGTACGCTATTACACGAATGGACAGGTCCGTCCAGACCAGTAAGGCTTGTATTCAATATAAATTTTTTGCCCAAAACCAACATTTTATGGTGTATTCTAAGAGATGTTCAAAATCACGTCACATAATGCCAAAAACTTGAACTATTACTTAAAGGAATGAACCTTACATGGCCCGCATGACACCGATTTTATTTTAAGATACGATTTTAAGACACTAAGAACAGTATGCTTTGTAATCATAATTTTAGATCGACTTGTTGCATCTGTAGAATATCTTAAAATAGAAACACTTTTTTTTATCTCAGCTAAAATGAGAACACCTAAACGTCAGAGGAAGGACAGCGTCTCGGAGAAGGAAGTGGAAAGTAAGAAGATCAAGATGGAAGATTCCGAGCCAAGTAGAGTGGTGCATATAGACGAGACCGCAATAGACGGTATCGAGCTGATGGCGAATTACAAGAACCAACAAGAGGACGAAGAGAAACCGAGCACGGAAGACGAGAAAGAGCTCAAATCCGAAGAGACCGCCGAGGAAGACTTGGAAAGGGACAAAGATATTATGTCCGAAAGAGAGAAGGACAGTTTCTCAGAAATGGAGGACGACGATAAGTTCAATAAAAGTGACACGGACAATGAAAGCGACGGGAAAGTCGATAAAACTGGAAAAGGAAGGAAGTTCAAAAACTTGAAGGTAATTTGTTAATTCAAATTCAAAATGTCTTTATTCAAATAGATCCTTGCGCATTCTTATGGACGTTGAATTTTAGATTATAATTGATACATAAGTTCGTAAAAAAGTCACCACTAGTTCGGAAGGTACTTTCTGTTGATAAGAGACTGGCAAGAAACTCAACAGTTGCTCTTTTATAAAAAGATCAGATTACAATATAAGATAGGTATAATATTCTTATTTTAGCATTCTGTCTAATCAAATCCTTCATGACATGTCTTGATTGTTCCACCGATGGACTTGTATTCGAATCCCATCTAGAAAAACATCTAGTGAACTCATTAGAACAGATTCGTTTGTCATCACTTACAGGTGAAATTTTGCATACGGCTCAAGAAACACAGTGGTAGCATTTTCCCCTTGTTAAATCCTTCATGACAATTAGATATGGAATTGCTGGATTGGTATTCTAATCTCATCTATCTAAATCTCGCTCTAAGGCGGCGTTTTATATTTACACAAATACAATTATTGCTCTTTCTTAACAATTAATAACTTAGAAATCTAACTCCGATGGGACTGAATATTTGCATATATGTGTAAAAGTCCCTAAATAAAACAAAGCGACAATAATAATAATAATCCCATCTATACGTTAAGTGAACTCATTGTATTTAGAAGACACGTGTTTGTCACACACAGGTGAAATTTCGCATACGGCCCAAGAAGCGGGGCGGTAGCATATTCACCCTGGTGATGGGGAACGGCGAAGAGAACAAAACGGAGCGGGAGCCGCAGAAGGCTGAGGAAGAACAGAAGTCGGACGTGGACGTGGAGACTGCGATGAAGCAAATCAGGAAGGGCTGGAGCGTCCACGACGCTGGAGACCTCACGATCGGTGACCTGTACCTCATGGTGAGATGTTTTTTTTTTTAAAAACATGGCCCTTCCTTTGGAATAATATTATTCTGTGTTTTAAGGACGTTTTACAGACATAAATTTCACATGGACAAACATCAGATGCGAAACATCTAACTGTGGGTCGCATAAATAGTTGTAACATGTTCCCGTGTGGGAATCGAACCCAAAACCGCCGGCGCCGAAGCCGATACCTTGGCAACTGCGCCGCGGAGTCATCGTTTTGGTACATCGAAGCTGATGTAGAAAAAGATCCAGTGCCAAAGTCTTAGCATATAGCTTGTTCATAGTTTTCTTTTTGGCAATAGCTCTTGCTTGCACCCTTTCATAATCCAATAGACTACTACTGGTGTATTTTTTTTTATTTTAAAAGGAAGTGGAAGAATCTCACAAAAAGTGAACGTTTGAGAGAAAAATACGTCGAAAGATATATATGTCGATATATGATTATTAATTTGATAATTAAGATGTTAAAAAAAGTTCGAATCAATTTAGTGGCTTACTCATATACAGCGTGTCGTTACAACCGCGACAATAAATGAACACACATATAGAGGATAACTTTTTAAAATTGTATTAAATATTAACATTCTTTAAACATCAATATTCACCAAGTTATTAAATTTTCCAAAACAAACAATTTTAGAACACCCTGACGTATAAAACTGTAACGTAAAGTTCATTTGTAAAGGTCACAAAGCATATGAATGGGTTGAATGAATTTAAAAGAGACAAAACATACTGTTAGAAGGAGAGACTTGTAACGCGACGCTGTGGCAACGAATGAAAAAGTCTCTGAATGTATGAATCAGTCAGTTGTCAAAAATTTTGTCTCTTTTTTATTTAATGAGTTTGTTTGAAAAGTATTTTTTTTAATTATGGTTTTTTTTAAAGTTTATATTTTTTTATGATTATTGGCAAGTAGCGTTGGACGTGTGTTCATTTATTGTCGCGGTTGTAAAGACACGCTGTATAAATCAGAACTGCACGAATTTTCATCGGCGATTCCTTCCGAGACGTTTGCAAAGTACTCCTTACAATGTGCTGTACATTTGTTTGATGGGAAATCGTTAAGCACATCGCATCATACCGCAGTTCGGCTCCCGTTCGAAGCTCGAATTGGACTACTGGTGGGCGGAGCCGACCCCTCCACTGCCACAGATCCAAAAGCCGCGGCGGCACGTCGAAGCAGAGAGGCCGACGGCAGATAAGGAAAGAGAGAGGAAAGAGAGACAGGAGAAGTTGGACAAGGTCGAGAACGGAATAGAAGAGGAGCGGGAGAAGGCCAGAGAGAGCGACACGGATATCTTCTCGCCGAAGAACACCTTCAGTCAGGACAGCAACGACGGTTTGTCCGGCGACGAGAGAAAGAGTAAGTTCACGCTTTGGATCACTAAAGTAAATTATCAGCCTATACATGTCCCACTGCTAGGCAAAGGCCTCCTCTATACTGAGAGTATCAGGGCATAGTCCACCACGCGGCCACGCGGCCACTGCAAATTGGCGAACTTCACATATCTTCGAAATATTTTTCTTTTCAAAAATATGCAGGTTTCCTCACGATGTTTTCCTTCACCGCCGACTACGTGATAATTCAGCACTTAAAATTGCCAATTTCATTGGTGCTGGCACCGGGAATCGAAATCAGGTTGCTCGAGTATATTGAATTATAATTGGCAGTCAAATGCTGGCCAGTTTTGAATAAAGAAAAAAAAAATTAAAAGGCAAGCGCCCGGACACTGAGCTATCACGGCTTGGATCAGTATTTATATTAATAAACCAGTTGTAACATTTAAGCATTTTAATTTTGTCCGAGCAGATAAAATTTATTTGCTTCTACAATCACACTTTGATTTTATTGTCTTTCTACCCAACAGTCACCCGAAAAGATTGTTTTCTTGAAGTAGCTATCATCAACATTTCATAGTGCACTGCAAAATCGGCCTCGGATACAGATTGCCACAAAGCACGCTGCTGGGCCAACTGCATCCATCGAACTGACACTTGAACGGGTCGTCACTCCATCTATGCGAGGAGGTCGCAAATAACGAATCAGTCTCATATTTTACTTCAATGATTTAAACATATAAAAGATAATACGTAATAAGTACGCACGTAAATGTAACGTACGAATAAATGTCATCGAATAATTTTCATGGTGGTAGGGCCACGCAGCAACTCGGCCGTTGCACGAATGGGCAGGCCCGTCCGGGCAAGTACCATGCCCTCACAGAAGACCGGCGCGAAGTGGAAGTATAATACTTTCGCGTTTCGTCTGGTGAGTGAGGTGGGCCAGAGCCAAATTTTCAAAAGGCTGTCAACGCATCCGGAACCCATGGACGGCGGTATTCACTTGACATCAGGTGAACCGTCCGCTCGCTTTGTAACTTTTCACATTAAAAAAAATATTACTTCCCACTGTGACCACGGAAGAGTGTTGCTTTGCAGTGGATCAGCTCGCCTCGGCCGAGCACAAGCCCACCGGTTCCGTGGCCGGTGGTGGTGGTGGTGGCGCTCTGAGCCTGGCCGCCAAGCTCATCAACCGGCCGGTGGCACCGCCCCAGGACAGCGGCTTCAGCCGGCTCAGTGACCGGTCAGTGCAGCTTGGCTCGCAAGTTGAACTCTCCCGGAGGCTCGTGATCGTACGAGAATAAAGAATAAATTTATTGAGCTGATGGCCTTTTAAAAACCACACCCACACTGGCAGTTAATCCCTGTGTAACGACAATTGAAACGCGAGAATACATCCAAAACTGGAATAATTGTTTGAGCAAAAAAATTTAGAACCCACACAGGTATCGAAACCACAATACGGCATGCAACGCCAGTTTAGGTCGGGACTGGAAGCAAAGCACCGCAAACTTCCGATCTTCTTTTTCTTTTATACATTCTGAGACTATCACTTCATTATTCATCATTCCGGGCCGAGTCCTCGAACATATGCCTCCTCCACAGACTGCCACGGAGTACGTTCTGAGTCACCTGCACATTTGCACAAGTCGTCGATATCACTTAACAATTACCAATAGACAAGTGCAGTAGCTTTTATGAATATCCGCCATTATTTGAATCATCGCCCGTAAATGAGTTTCGACATCAATTTAGACATACGGAACCCTGAAGTGGGTCGATGTAGACGTTGGGTTCCGCAGGATGAAGCGTCTGATGACACTGGCCGGGAACCCGCTGGCGAGCGCGGCCGGGGCTGCCCCGCGCTGCGCATGCGGCCACGTGTGCGCCCACCAGCGGAAACAGGTAGGCAGAGTCACAGAAATGGGGTCTATGTGAGAAGGTGCCAACGAGATGGTGGTTCACCTGATGCTTAGTGATCACCGCCGTTGCACATGTGTCGCCAGCTTTCATTAAAGCGGACCCCGTCTATACTTATCAGTTTTATAGGATCTCTGAACTGAACTTTTTATCATCATAATTCTGCCCTTATCCCACCTAGGTGAGTCGTTACACCATGTGAATCATATTATAATTCTTATCTCAAGCAATGAAGCGATGGGATTACGTAGGGATAGCTTTGTTATTATATATCATCATCCTCCTGCCCTTATGCTACCTAGGTTGGATCAGTATAACATGTGAATCATATTGTAATGGTTTAGTTTTTATACCACCAACAACCTGACATCAACCCTCCTTGGAAACAAACACCCAGAACCGGTACAATTATCAGTGGGTCACTTAAATATTATTGGATGTTTGAGAATTGAACCCACCACTAGCGGCGAAGCGTCAGTTTCAATATTATTAGATTTCTTTCATCATCCTAATCTTTCGTCATACATTGGTAAAATGTTCAATGGAATAATCCAAAGCCGTCTGAAGTGGATATCATCCGTGTACTCTTTGATTATCTGTGCGCTCACGCGCATGTTTTTACGTGTGTGTGCGTGCGTGTTCGTGCAACGTGTATTGGCAGAAGGCGCCCCCGTGCAGCGCCAGCCGGCCGACGGCTGCGACAGAAGAGCCAATCTTTCGCCACCCCACGCCCATCGCCCCGCGCCCCAACACCGAGCCGGACGTGAGCACCCACTTTTCAAATTCCCCACTACAAATTCCCTAATACGCCTTTAAACAATCACATACTCACCTTTCATGCACTACATATTTCATGCACTACTTTCATTCCATTACATATTCCCAGCCACGCCCTTTAACACTCCCAACCACGTCCTTTAACAACCACATATCAACCATTCAGATACTCCACTACATATTCCCAACCACGCCCTTTAATAACCATATATCAACCATTCAGATACTCCACTACATATTTCCAACCACGCCCTTTAACGACCACATATCAACCATTCAAATACTCCACTGCATATTTCCAACCACGCCCTTTAACAACCACATATCAACCATTCAGATACTCCACTACATCTTCCCAACCACGTCCTTTAACAACCACATATCAACCATTCAAATACTCCACTACATCTTCTCAACCACGTCCTTTAACAAACACATAACCACCATTCAAATACGCAACTACATATCCACAACCACGCCTTTTAACAACCACGTAACCTTTCAAATACGCCGCTATATATTCCCATCCACTTATTTAACATAACTAGCCTCTCCCTACTGCAATGACGCAAGAGTTATCGGAAATACTGTATAAGTCTTGTTACTATGGTAAACAGAGCGTCTTAACAGTCAATTTTCAATGCTCGTTAGATAACGATGAATTCGAGAGGGCTATCGAAACTTACAACAAAAGAGGAAACTGTGGGTAGTCCCCAACAGCTATTTGTGGACCAAATGATCAAAGTCAAAGCCCAGTTTTCAAAAGGTTGTCAACGCATCTGGAACCCTCGGGTGTAGCAAATGTCCATGGGCGGCGGTATTCACTTAACATCAGGTGAACCGTCTGCTCGATTGGCAACTTTTCACATAAAAAAGTCAGTCAAAGTCAAATTTTTTTATTCAATATAGGTTTATTTTAAGCCCTTATTGAACGAAGCTCCCATCGGTTCACTAAAGTAGACCTGTCCAAAGAAGAACCGGCAAGAAACTCTAAGGTCTCATCTTTTTTTTCCTTTTTTTTAATTATGTAAGTACACAAAAGCATTAAAGTATAAAATTAGGAGAGGCCAGGGGACTAGCAAGTGCCGAACTAGCAAGATCGGTCAATAACCACGACTCTTGGGGAATGACTATGTTCCGTGGCACAGGGTGCCCGAGCACTGAGCCTAGAAGGTCTGCCGAGGCGGCGTCGTGGCAGGCCCCGCCTGGGCACGCGCCGGGTCGTGGTGCAACGTCTGCTGCCACTGCTGCCAAAACTGCCACCGCCTAGCGGTAAGCGTTACTCACTCATCCCACACATGGCCCTTACAAAGTTGTCATCACTTCACACACTTTTCAAACCGATGCGAAGATCTTCACCTTCCTTCTTTTCTATTCTTACCGTAACATCAATATGTGCATTGTCAATTTCTACTTACTCGTTTTCTCCTGCTTCATAGTCGAATTCAAAACATTGTCAAATGAAACAATTTCATGAGATGCCGACATTTGGACGAACCTGCAATAAACCTCACCCTATACAATCTTGAAATTTTCGGAATTTATAAATCATCAGCCTATTTATGTCCTACTAGGCCTGCTGTCTCTGTATCAAAAGGTATTAGAGCATACTCCACCACGTCATCTCACTGCGGATTGGCGGACTTCACATATAATCCAAATTTTTTTTATGATAATTTCGAAAACGATCAGGATTCCTTACGATGTTGAAACTGTGTAGATTTATACTCACCACGACAAATAAACTTTACAGATCTCATACCGGTAAAAGTAATGCCGAACTCGCAACCGGCGCTGCCCAAAATCCTACCAAAGCCGCCTCCGACCTCTACATCTGAGTGAGTATTGTTCTTCGTTTCTTCCTCTTGTTTGTAGATGTTATACTATCATCATGCCAAATTTCAATGAGTAAGTTTCTTTCTAGATGTTAGACTAAAGAGTAAATTTCTATCAAATCCAGGTCAAGTGTATTTACCATGAAACGTTTTAGAGAGACGTATATAATAGAAATCAGTTTGACTATAACAATTTGGATGGGAATCTTGTCTGTGATAAAGCCCGTGATTTTGCTGTTGTAAGAACGGTTCGCCTCGATTGGGGAAGTTCGAGAAGACCAAAAACGGGGCCCGAGAAGTCCCGTGTTATGCGAAAACCAGGCTTTAAGTTCGAGCGCTCTTGCGTTTTATCCAGACAGTCAGATAATCGGAAACGGTGAACCCTTTCAATGCTATCATTGAACCATGTCTATGTCTAGCTCATCATACCTATGTCTAGCTATTTTGGGTCTATACCCAAGTCGGGATTGTCTTGTCTCCATTGGTTTAACGTATTCTCTTCCAATCTCCAGTACTACATAATGCTCCTTTGGGCACAGCGAAACAGACCAATTGAAAGTAGAAATACTACAATCACTTGGCCGCTTGACATCTTCTCTTAATTTTTTTTTATATTGCTAAATGATAATCTCTGCACTTTTATTTTTTTTATAGTGCTAATCTCTGCGTTTAAGGTTAAATATTAAAAGTTATAGAGAAAAGAACGAAAAGTTTTGTGTCGTTCTGTTGTCCCGAAGATGTGGGTTCGATTCCCACAAAGACAAAAAAACTCTTCGTTCTTTTTTTCTACAAATTTTAATCTTCCCTTAAGTTAATTGTGGTAGAGCCAGCAACGATTCGCTGTTGCATGAATGGGCTGTTTCTGTAAATACCACAACAGAAGACCAACGTGAGGTAGAAGTATTTACTTGTATGTAGTTTATACTAGCACGTCTCGTCTGTCATGTGATGTAGCCGCGTCACTCTTTTAAAACGCAACGCAATCCCTCAGATATTTTCGATGTCCGTAGACGTTAGTAATAACACCTCGGACTTTACGGAACATACCAGCAACACCTTAGTACCTATACAACGAAATCTTTCGTGAAATCAGCAAGTCACATACACATAGTCAATCTATCCAGAGTATAGAATAGAATAAAACTGCAGTAGGGCCACGCAAAAGACTTCTCTGTTGCACGGATGGGCAGGTCCGTCCGGGTAAGTACCACGACCTCACAGAAGACAGCAAGCGTTGTACTTCTGCGTTTCTGCGAGTTAGGTAGCCGGGGCCCATCATAAATAGGCGACGCATCTGCTACCCTTCGGGTTTTGCAAATGTCAGCGGGCGGTCATCACTTAACGCCAGGTGAACCGCCACATCGCTCGCCCCCTCACATTATGACGTCAAAGCATCGTGGATCTCGCCACTGCGCTATCGACCAGCGTCAATACTAGCCACGTTTCCAGTCTCTCCTTCTTCTACGTTCTGAGCGAGTCCAACGGCCAGTTCTTCTTCCACGACGGGGACAGGCGCATTCCCATCACTCCACTGCCCGGGAATGGGGCGGACGACACGGAGCAGGACGGTGAGATCCAAACATAATATAATATAAAAAAATTGAGAGGTGTCAACGGACACCCGGATGGAACGAAGTTCCTTTCGATTAATTAGTGAAGGAATTGTAATAAAATTTTATTTTTTTTAAGTTTTAATAATATTTTTTTTATTATTAACAAATATAATATCATGTAATATAAACTTAATCAGTAGATTCAATTTTAGTAATAATTCACTTTATTAACCTAATAAAAAAATTATTAATTACTTTAATAAATTATTACTTTATCATGTACAAAAAACCTGTATACACTCAACAAAAATAATCGTCGCGACACCACACTGTTCAATGCGAAATAGAAATGAAAATATCTGGCTTGCTTTCTATAAGAGAGAGAGAGAGAGAGAGACAGACAGAGAAATATGCGCACGCCGCACAGCTTACAATAGCTTACTATAGCAAAAAGTGTCGTTACATCTTTTCGTGAGAACTTTTTCCGTCTAGCCCCCTTTCACAACGCGCGATAAGGAACTTCGTTCCAAAATATTTTAGGACACATTTTTACACAACGTTCTCTAGTCCCAGATTAAGCAACGCTTGTACTATGGGTACTAGATAACTGACAAACATACTTAAGCATACTTTTCTTTTGTAAATAAATACGTATTATACATGTATAAACACCCAGACACTAGAAAAACACTATGTTCATCACACAATCTTTTTCCAGTAGCGGGGATCGAATCCACACCCTCTGGCGCAGGAGGCAGGTACACTGTCAATACGCCATTTGGGTCGTCAAACGTCAATTTGATTCCACGTCTAAATCATCGTTTCTTATGACAGCAACAGAAAAGTGACAAGTCTATTTTTGCTAACGAAAAACAAAACCGACTTCAAATATCTCGCTCGGTATTCATTTTGTAACTAATTTCCAGGAGTTCCCTACGTATCTCCAGAGCCCAAGATCCTGAGAGCTTTCAAATAAAAAAAGAATCATCAATATCGAATGAGTGAATTCATTCGAAAGTTCTGAGGTAACAAACATAAAAATAATACAGTCGAATTGAGAACCTCCTCCTTTTGAAGTCGGTTAAAAAAAGCCTACGTATGTCCCACTGCTGGGCAGAGGCATCTGTACAGTGGGCGTTAGGGCATCGTCCACCACGCGTCTCAACTGTGGATTGACGGACTTCACATATTTTAGAAATATATTTTTTTTAAATGAAACTAATTTTACGGATTTATCGCGTTTATTTTTAATTTTAATTCCCGACGTTTCGAACCCTTTACAGCGTTCATGGTCACGGGACAGACACGCGTAAATACAAGAAATCATCATACAGCGTGTCGTTACCACCGCGACAATAAATGAACACACATATTATAGAGGATAACTTTAAATTGTATTAAACATTTACATTCTTTAAACATCAATATTAACCCAGTTATTAAATTTCCCAAAACAAACAATTTTAGAACACCCTTACGTATAAAACTGTAACGTAAAGTTCATTTGTAAAGGTCACAAAGCATATGGGTTGACTGAATTTAAAAGAGACAAAACAAAACGCTAGAAGGAGAAGCTTGTAATGCGACGCTATGGCGCGAGTTGTATAGGTGATACAAATTTTGTTTCTTTTTTACTTAATTAGTTTGTTTGAAAAATATTTTTTTTAATTATGGATTTTGCTTAACGTTAATATTTTTTATGATTATTGGCAAGTAGCGTTAGACGTGTGTTCATTTATTGTCGCGATGGTAACGACACGCTGTATATTTTTTTTGTCATTATTTCGAAAGAAAATATACAGGTTTCTTCACGATGTTTTCCTTCACCGTTGAGCACGCGATAGAGTCAGCACTTGAAATTAACAATTTCATTGGTGCTGGCAACTGGGATTGAACTCGGGTCGCTCGAATAAATTGAATTAAATGAACACTGAGCCATCGCGGAAGGAATAACAATAAAGATCAAATAAATGAATGAACGCAAAAAAACTCGTTCTCTCTTTCTTTATGTCATCGCGGTACAACAATTCGGTACGAGTTGCCTCGAATTGCCGAAACCAGTGCTGGGGTCGGAACGATTTTTAGTTTCTGTATCTCGACTTTCACCGAGTCCCGTCCGTTTCACGGTCTTATGCTGCCACACAGACCTTCACTTGTTTTCTTTTTTATGTTTACATTTATTTAAACTTTTCCAATATTATTTTATACAGGTTGTCATTACAACCGCGACAATAAATGAACACACGTCTAACACTACTTGCCAGTAATCATAATAAAATATAAAAGTTAAAGAAATCCATAATTAAATAAAAAAAGAAACAAAATTTGTAACATCCTATACAACTACAACTGACTGATTCATACATTCAGAGACATTTTCATTCGTTACCACAGCGTCGCATTACAAATCTCTCTCACATATCTCTTCTCATCTCTTCTCATCTCTTCTCACAGTATGTTTTATCTCTTTTAAATTCATTTAACCCATTCATATGCTTTGCGACCTTTTTGTTTTAGAAAAATAAATAAATCTGTGTGTTCATTTATTGTAGCGGTTGTAACGAGACGCTGTATACTGTGTAATTATAATATTTTCTAACTTTTGTATGTGTCTATTGTGATTAGACCGTGAATAAAAGTTTCTCCTTCTTCTTCTTCTTGTACATTAATCCCGTCGTCGTCGAACCTAACGCAGACGAGGAACTTACTGAGGACGAGGATGTTAAGGAGTTCAAGATCGACATCTCTCCGACCGAGATCAGCAAGCCGGCCACCACCTCCCAATGCCCCGAGGCCACGACCTTCAAGTCCAGCGCCATGAAATCGGAGAACACCGATATCGCCAGTAAGTGAAGTGTAGCAATAAATTTTATTTATGACAAATAACACTACAGCTCTATGTCTAGGTTTCAATATTCTATCTACGGATAAATTTGGTTACTGGAGATAGAATTTTGACGTAAATATTATGGAGCTGATGTCAAATATCTATCGCTATTAGCCAAATCTATAAGTAGATAGAATATTGTAACCGGCCGTCATAAGGAGCTATTGTCAAATACCTATGGCTAGTAACCAAATCTATGTACATTGAATAATGATTAATATTGTCAATGCTTTAAAAAAAGCAACAACGAACAGTCCAAATCCCTCAGACTGGCGCTACAGCACCAAGAGTCTGTGATTATTTATCTTTTTTCTTTGGATTTCACTTTTTATTTGATTTTTCTTTAGTATCTATAGAAACTGTTAATTTACCACCACTGACTGATACCCACATGCTACCTTGCGCTACCAATTTAACGCATTTCGACGGACACTCACACACAGCGATTGTTCTCCTCACTATCTCCATGGTCACCGACTTTTTAACCAGGGGAGGAGAGTAGAGGGTGAGAGGATCTTAAGGTACGGCGGTGTCGGATTCGTGAAGTTCCAACTCCACTAGGGACGAGGGTGGGGGATGCGTGCCGGTTCCGTGCCGGCCCCACTAGGGTCGAGGGTAGGATGCGAGGGTCCTGAGGGTCGACGGTGGCCACTGTGCAGGCTTCCTGCCGGCGGAGTCGCTGTCGCTGTCGCCGTCGCGGCTGCTGCGCGAGGCGGACGGCTGGCTGGACGGCGCCGTGCACGACTTCTCGCTGAGCAGCTTCCTCGGCCACCTGGACGCCGAGGAGCGGCCGCCCGCCCACCACCAGCCCGCCCCCGCGCCCGCCCCCGGACGGCCCGCGCCCCGACCGGTACGGCCTCCGTATCCAACGGCGCTAGCCCCCGCTACCACGACCTCGCAGAACACCTGCACTCCTGCTGAGTGAGGTGGCCGGCGCCCGCTTTGTTTAGTGGCAACACATCTGCCAACCCTCGGGTGTGGCAGATGTCCATGGGCAATGGTGTTCACTTAACATCAGGTGGACCGCCTGCTCGCTTGGCAACCGTTCACATAAAAAAGATGGCGTTCGCACGTAGTGGGCAGTGACCCTGCCTCTTGCGCCAGATGTTGTGGTTCGATCCCGACGTAAATTATTGTGTGATGAACATAGTGTTTTTCCAGTGTCTCGTTGTTTATATATTTATAATATGTATTTATCTACCAAAGAAAGGTATGTTTAAGTATGTTTATCAGTTATCTAATAGCCATAGTACAAGCGTTGGGACCTTGTGGCGCAGTCGTCGAAGTATTGGCTTCGGCGTCGGGGGTAGTGGGTTCGATTCCCACACGGGACAACTATTTGTGCGACCCACAGATAGTTTTTTCGCATCTGGATATATGTCCACGTGAAATGGATAACGTTACCCTAAAGCGAGGGCAATGATTTTAAACAAAGAAAACGATTACAAGCACCTATTTTCCCACCAGGTTAGCTGACAGAAAACTCATGAAATGAGTTATGCTTACCTTTTGTACATTACTTTCATTTTTCATTATTTTTTTTTCTATCTGGTGTTTTGTGTACAATAAATATACAGGGTGGCTTTTTTAAAGGCACCCAAATTCACACAGGAGTTTCAGAGTCGTCAGTATAACCGTTTATTGAAATAACAACAATCTCTATTCCCTAAAAAACAGAACTTGTTGGCATTGCGGAAGTCATTCATAAATCCGTCGTATACTTTTGAAACGAACTTGTGTGCGTGTTATGAATGATCGCGCGTAAAATAAATGAGTTGCCCATAAATCACGCACTTTTTGAGATAAGTTCAAATGGATGTAATTAATTAATTACGAGTTATTTTAAATATTTATCATTTTTTATATTGTATTATTTATGTCTAGAATTTAATAAAAAAAATGGATACATTTAGGAAAGCCGCCCTGTATAAATAAATAAGGCGCAGGTGGAGTCGCAGATCCAGTCGCTGATGACGGAGACGAGCATGGACTACGTGGCCAAGTTCGCGGACCTGGCGGCCGAGGTGGGCGGCGAGGCGGACCTCGCCGGGGACCTCGGCGCGGACCTCGCCGCGGACCTCGCCTAGCCCGGCCGGACCTCGGCGCCGCGGCGGACGGCCCAAACGCAGTAGCGAGGACCTTCATATAAGTTGTCCAGGAAGCCGGTCAGGTCGTAACAGTAATATAATACATGTGTGTTTTAAATTTTAAGCAACAGTTTTCAGCATTATTACAGGATTACGTGATAAAAAGGAAATTCTAAAAGTTAAAATTTGTAACACGATTTAAAAAAGCGTCACAGGTGCTTTATATTTTTCTCGATTTTTGTATTATCAATGCCCTTAAGTTTTTAAATACATAGCAGTTTTATTTTTAACTTTTTTCTGTTAACTATTATGACTTGACGTCACTCCTGTATATTACCTAGGTACTGGGACATCCTGTATTTCACCGATACACTCTGTCAATTGAACTTAGCAGTCGATTTCTGTACTATGAAGATGTGTTAGTTATCTTTAAAAGTATTTCTATACTTTGCCGGAATTTTGTATTGATTAAAAACTTTCATGTCATGAAATACGACACTGATACTTGGTATTGCTATAAATTGGTATAAGTAAAAGGCCAACCCAATTCATCATTGTTTTCAACAATTCTTGTGTGCATGCCATCAAATAAAATTCCCTTATGCAATCAACATATTATTTGATGATTTTAATGCATTAAATGATAATGCATTTAACGATGTTTTTTGCGAATTTATTAACATAAATATTAATGACTTTGCAGAGATTTAATAACCAGTTTATTGACTTTATTATCCCGAAAAATGTATTTTATTTTAAGCAAAAATATGTCCTCTCTGAAGCTATCAACCAGCATAATTCTTCGTTTCGTACAGTTAGATAGACCACTGTTGTGGGTTATTTTTTCCATATATCCTTTTTAGCCATAGTGGAAATAAAATGTGAAATAAATTATTAGTTTTATTTCGAAAGTGACACCCACCCATCTGTTCGCTTCGTCTCTTCTAAAAGTGTCTCTTGGATCGCCATAATTTCTTCTACCAATATTTGTAGGCCCGAGCACATTATAACACAAAATACAACCCTGGTTGGGATACTATCATCGAGCAGAAGGTTAGTTTTTGTCATCATTCCGACGCCTTTATTTGAGTGGTAGAAAAAAGAATCAGTTATCTCAAATAACATACGTTTATTTACTGTAAACATTATATATTTTGTAATTACAATAGCTATAACGAATTAGTATCAATCATAGGCAAGGGTAAAGATTTCTTATGCAATAAAAATGACTAGGTCGAAGAAAGAGACTTACATCTAGGTTTAAAGCAAATATAATTAATGGTTTTTGTTCAAAGTTTACTACATTGAATACATATACATACAATTTATTAGCTTTATTATAACTTTACTATAAGAATATTATAAGATCAGATATTAAACATAAGTAATTACCAATTGAACTTAGAAAATAAATAAAATTCACTGATTAAAGCTTTTTTATTCTTTGGAATGTTTTAAACGTTAAAAATACAACAACAGCACGATTTTAAGCAATAACGTTCTAGAATGTTTTTGTAATATTAATTAGTTATATTAAGTAGGCCATATTAAAACCATTACAGAATTATTTATGATAAAAATTACACATAAACAACTATTATAACGTAACAGTTGTTAATGAAATAACAGGCTGTTATTTTGTAACAGTTATTTGTCACTTTAACGGTTAATTTGCGTTACTGCTACGGTTAAAAATATGAACAGGTTTTGTGGTAATGGGTATTGGATTTAGCCCAGTGTAACTCACCCGTATTATTGATAACAGCCGCAATCCACAACGGTCGTTGTCGATTGCGGCTGATAGATGACGAGCGACGGGTGATGTTCGATGCGTGTAAGGCTTTAGTTGACGAGTAACTGATGACCAATGATGTTTTAATAAAGAAGACGCATGTCCATATATCATATGACATAAAGTGAATGTGACGGATGATATTGAACGTATGATAAAGGAACGAGATAGCAGTCTATAAAGTTGCAATCTTATGACACCAATTGTCATAATTTAAGTCGCTCAGTTTTGGTGCGCATCTCTACATTCGTATATGTACCATATATTTGTATGTATCATTGGATGAGAGATGACAGGTAACGGATATACGGAACGAGAAATAAGTGATGGGCGATAAGTGTCAAGTGGAGAGAAGGATAGCCGAGGACTGGTGACAGGTGATAAGCTTAGTACATAAAAGGACAGACGACTAGTGACGTGCGATAGGTGACAGTTGACAGATGACAAGTGACAGGTGACAGGCGACAAGCTCAGTCGGCGTCGGCGCTGCGGCGGGCGGCGGCGGCGCGGGAGAAGCGCGCGGCGAGCAGGTCCACGATGCGCAGCAGCACGTCCCGGTTGAGCGCGCGGTGGCGGACGCTGCGCAGCGCCAGGGCCGCCCCCGAGCGCGCCGCGGCCGCGCACCACGCCTCTGCCGGTCCAAGGTTCCACTCTCGGCTCAAAGGCCACGCGCCGGCCTCCGCCGTGGCAAGAGTGGGCGGCTCCGGCGCAGGTGTTGCAAATGTCCACGAGGGACGGTTAACACTTAACATCGGGCGGATCGCCGACTCGCATGCCGCCTTCGCGCATAAAAAAACTTTATGCGTTTTAACAGTAGCGATCAAAACCTTCTCACGTAAAAGTAACAACCTGGTATGATGGACATGATCGCGTCGCAAGTTTCCTCCACGTCGAAATCGCGCAGCTTTCGACTTCCCGGGTTCGAGTCCGCACCCTCGTTTGACATCTGCTCGAACGCCGCGAAAATCTGTTCCCGCAGCCAAGAGCCCAGCTCGTCCAGCCAGACGGTCAACAGGGACTCCGCTAGGTCTGAAAACAAATTTTTACCGTTCACTATTTCTGTAGTTATTAAAGACTGCTTGACCAATAAAATAGCATTAATAACTTTATATATTAATTAGGCCTACCTATTCGAATAGAGTAACAGAGTTCCAAAAATTACAGAGTTTACTTATTATTTAAAAAAAACAAAAGGGTCATTACAACTACACTGCAAATCAATCATTAAATGACTACTGCAGTTAATTACAAAACATTACTTAAAGATTTACAGGCGATTCTTTTGATGCAAAGTGATACCCGACGCCCATGCACATCTGCAACACCCGTGGGGTTGCAGATGCGTTGCCAGCTTATATAAATAAAGTGGGCCCCAGCTACCTCACTCACTAGACGAAACGCATCCACTTCACGCCGCGCTTTTCGTGAGGTCGTGGTTCCCCAGACGGACCTGACCATTTATGCAACAGCCAACTGTTGCGTGGTCCTACCACAAACAAACATTAGGTGTAGAGTTATAATAGCAGTTCCTATTATATAGGTATTCCAATAGCGTATGCCATTTTTTCTATGTGCGAAGGGTTTGGCCCTACACAATTTCTCTTCAATACTCGATTCACATATTTTCTTCAATGCTCTGTAAGTGTAACGTAACTACCGTTTTTGGCACCATGACGCGTGGACTGGGTTTATTAGATAATATGTAATTTAGATAGATTTACGCCCGATTTCTGGAACACTGATCATTGTAGAAGTTTACTAATCAGCTGTCAAATTACTTCTCAAATGTCATTTGAGCAAAAAATCAAAAATCAAAATCATTTATTTATCGACATAAGAAAAATACATTTCATCTATCGATAGTCATTTTTTAAATCTACCGCCGTTTCTTAATGAGGTCCCTCTAACGGAGAAGAAACAGGCGAAAGAAAGCCCGCAGGTATCCTCTTTTTCCTCAACAAAATTATAATATTATACAACAAATTTTTCTTTTAGAAATGGCTTGGGAGCGATCAACAGGGGTTATTGTCATTCCCAGGGGTTATTGTGATTACATTACATTAATGTATTCATTTATATTCAGAGCTGCCAAAAGGATGCTTAAACTCTCTGAATTGATCAGAATGATCAGAATACCATTTGACAGTTGATTAGCCAATTTCTACGATGATCAGCGTTTCAGAAAGCGGGCGTTAATGTTGGATAAACAAATTGTGTATTATCGTCATACTCGGTTGGGGCGAAACGGGTCTCACCGGCGAAGAGCAAGGTGGCGACGCGGAAGGCCACGTGGGAGCGGCAGCAGCCCAGGGCGCCGGCCAGCGCGCACGTGCCGCTCCACGCGCCGCCCACGGTGCTGCACCACTCCTCTGACGCATAGGGGCTTTTGAGAGAGCTTATTACGAATGCTTTTACGGAGCTGGGCTTTTGGGAGAGCTCTAACGGAGCTGGGCTCTTGAGAGAGCTTTCGCAAAAGAGCTTATTGGCGAATGCTTTAACGGAGCTCTCGGCAAAAGTTTTACAAGAGCTTATGGCGGGGCTTAAGAGAGCTTATTTGGAATGCTTTCACAAGGCTTTTGTAAAGTGGAAGTGTTAGTGAGTGAAGTAGCAGGGGCCCCACTTTATTGAAAGGTGGCAATCCACATGCAACACTACGGCTCTTGCAAATGTCATTGGCGGCGGTCATCACTTAACATCCGGTTAACCGCCAAGCTCGTTTGCCACTTTTTTACATAAAATAAAAAAAAATGATAGAGCTTTTGACAGATGTTTTACCAGTTTTTAACAGATATCTTAACAGTTTTAATAGAGATTTTGAGAGATATCTTAACAAAGTTTTTTTAGACGGAGCCCAACTTTTCATCTTTGCCGCTGGGGCTGAGACGGTAACTTCTTTAGGGACGTCACAATATCTAAAAAAAATCACTTGAATTGGCTTAAATGATGATGAAGATAAAAGATGCCGTTTAAGCCTACAAAGGAGCAAGGAGCTAGAGCGTGCGATTTGATGACTTGCGATCTCACCGGGACTCGTAGGTTCGATCTCCGCACAAGACAATTATTTGTGTGGCCCACGGTGTTTGTCCACGTTAAATTTATGTGTGTAGAACGTCCGTACAAGACAGTATGGGGGCAAAGTTTTCGAAGGGGAGACTATAAATCGATCTAACAAGTCGCGGTGGCCATTCCAAATCAAATATATATTTATTCACATAGACGCTTGCGCGTTCTTATGAAATGTCAAAAATTTTACATAAAAATTAATACGTTCGTAAGTTACCACCGGTTCGGAAAGCAGTTTCTGTTGAGAAGAAACCGGCAAGAAACTCAACAGTTGCTCTTTTTTAAAATGTGTCATTTTAGCCTACGTGAGTATCAACAGCATTGGCGCAACCCCACACATTGGCGTCGTCAAGATATTCTGCAATGGTATAATATGCCTTAGCCATAAGTTCGCGTTTAATTTTGCGTTTAAATTCATCTAGTGGTAGACTTAATACCGATTGTGGGATTTTATTATACATGCGCACAGTTTGCCCCATGAACGATCTATTTACTTTTTTTAGACGAAACAATGGTGTAATTAATTTGTCCTTATCTGTTTGGACGCAACAGTGATTATATTAATCTCTTTAAAAATATCTCTGAGTGTATCCCGGGCTCCGATGTTATAGATTGCTCGGATAGCTGTTATTTGAAGAATAAATATAGAATTTATATCAGATGCACTACCCCACAACAAAATGCCGTACTATAAGATGCTGTGAAAATAACTAAAGTAAACAAGTCTGGCAGTGTCGATGTCTGTTAGCTGTCTAACCTTCCTAATAGCAAAAACAGCGGAGCTTAGCCTACTCGTAAGAGATGATAGATGGGGACTCCACTGAAGCTTTGAATCTACTGTAATCCCCAAGATAACTGCAGACTCAACAGGATTGAGGGATACGTTATTTAATAATAAACTAAAACTTTGCCTTCCCACACTAGGAAGAGTAAAAAGAATACATTTAGTTTTTTTGGCATTTAATACCATATTATTTATGGTGAACCAGTGAAGGATATGCGAAAGTGCACCATTTACGTCGTCATAATTGGATAAATTTCGGTCAACCTTAAATATGAGTGATATATCGTCAGCAAACAGTACAACATCACAAAAGTCACTGGCATAGGAGGGGAGACTAGAAATAAAAATGAGCCCAAGACTGATCCTTGTGGTACACCCATTTTCATGGGGGACCCTGAGGAATTAACATCATTTATAGATACTTTTTGAATTCTATTACTAAGGTAAGAGGTGATGAGATTGAGGGCGCTGTCACGAATGCCATAATAATCTAGCTTGCAAAGAAGGGTATTGTGATCTACACAGTCGAAGGCTTTTGAAAGGTCACAAAAGGCACCTAACGCATCTTGTGACCTTTCCCAGGCGTTAAAGATATGCTTAACAAGTGCGACACCCGCATCGGTTGTCGACCTGCCTTTAGTGAATCCATATTGCTCATCGTGAAAAATTTTGTTCATATTAAAATGTACTAATAGTTGATTTAAAATTAGTTTTTCAAATATTTTACTTAGAGATGGCAATATGGAAATAGGTCTACAGTTACCTGGATCATTTTTATCCCCACTTTTGAAGACGGGGATTATCTTACTAAATTTCATAAAATCTGGAAATATTCCAGAATCTATACAGGTATTAAAAATGTAAGCCAAATGTGGTTTAATATATGGCATTATTGTGGTCATTAATTTTATGGACGTGCCCCATAAATCCTCAGTACTTTTAAGATTAATAGAATTCAAGGCTTTAATGATATCATTAGTATCTACGTGATTAAATTTAAACATGTGTCGACAATAGGTAACATTATTTTGCAATACATTAATTGCAGCTATGGGAGAGGATTTTAATGTGCATGTGACATTAACTGAAATTTCTGAAAAATAATTTTCGAAGCTATTTGCAATTGCATCGTCTGATGTTATGGGAGTATTACCTATGATAAGTTTTATAGGTTCCCTGAATATCTTGGGTCTTCCAGATATACGGGTAATGATGTCTCAAGTGGCTTTTATTTTATTATTTGAATTTAGAATTCTATTTCTTATATAAATAGATTTTGCCTGGGCACAGACTTTTTTACTAAATTTTAATTTGGAATTTTTAGTAATTGTGCGTGATTTAAAAGTATCATTATAAGAAGATATAAGGAAATCAATCATTGATCTATAAGAATCATTGGGGTTGACTCCCATATCTTTATAGGACATATGCTGTGCCACTTTATATCTAAAAGAATTTATTCTGTTTGTAGTGACTGGCCTACACTTTATCTTAAGTTCCCTTGTAGTAATTTTGTCTTTTATAGAAAATTTCAAACCAGAGTGATCGCTGAGAGCTAAGACAGTTTATGATTGATTTTTCATATACTATATTGTAACAGAATACATTGTCTATACATGTGGAAGATGAGCTAGTGACACGAGTTAAAAAAGATACGAAATAAAGATTTTTAAGTTTAAATGAACTAAATAAATTTAAAAGTCGTTTACTAAGTTGTGTCACTTGTAATAAATCCACATTAAAATCTCCACAAACTATTACTGCTTTACTACTTGAACAGAGTTTTTTAAGGACATCATCCATTACACACTCAAACTGATCGAAATCACCTGAGGGGGGCCGATACACGCATACTATAATATACTGTTGACTCTCAACGCAGGATAATTCTATAGAACGTTCGACAGAGTGTGCCACTATATCCTGTCGATTTTTACATACTATATCAGTTCTTACTAATACAAGAGAGCCACCGCGAATAGCATTTACTCTTACGAACGAACTTAACAATTTATAGTTTTCAATATCTACAATATTATAATGTTTATGTAACCATGTCTCTGTGAAGCAGATGACATGAATATTAAATTTTCTTAGAAACAGTTCAATTTCGGGCTCATTGCCACTATCCAGCCGCTTCCACGCGAAACACGATGCAATAGAGGGCGCGGGGCGTACCGAAATCGGCGGGGGGCAGGGGGCGTTGGGGGCGGGGGGCGGTCGGCTGCAGCGGGTCCAGCGCCGCCTCCACGTGGCTCAGCGCGCGCCTCGCGCTCACCAGCCGCACCACCGCGCCGCCCACCTGCGCCGATCGCGTCATCAACGCGCGCCGTGACGTCATCGACCTCGTCACCTCACGACACCTAGGGCCCTGGCACCGCCCTGTACTCTTGTGCTCAGAGAATAGGGCTAAGGTGTCCCCTGCTTTTCTAAAAGGGGACACGGACCGGTAGCGGTACGAAGGTCTCGAGCTGTTGCAAGATTAAGAGGGAATCGGGGAATTTATCCTACTCCGAGTCGCAGTGCTGCGGGACACCGGTGCGTTCCGTACGAGATCACGGAGTCCCGAACGGTTTTAGCGGGTACGGACCCCACACAACCCTCGAATAGCAAGTTACCTTTGAAGATTCCCAAAAAAGTAGCTCTCGAGCCAGTACTAGAGCCCCTTCAACGCGATTGCCTCACTCGCCGGACGAAAGACGAGGCCAGGTAGCACCGCTGCCTCGAAGACCAGCGTGATTTGGAAGTGTTATGCTTTTGCGTTCCGACTCGACAGCGGGGGAAGCGGGGCCCGTTTGTATAAAGGTCATCTCCTAGTACTTATTGGTAGTTTTTTTTTTAATTTAACATTGTATTAACTATTGTCAACAGATGGCGGTATCATTATATTCTCTTTAAAGCATTTTTAATGAACGCATTAACTTAAGTCACCATTTTTAAATTGAACATGAGCTTCGAAGCGATGTCTGAGCCATAAAACTAAACAATGGTAGAGATATGATTTGCGGAATATACATTAGCGGAAAGAAGCACCTTTGAGAAATTAGATTATAGTGATGTTGTATGAACCGATAACTGATGAAAAAGAAAGATCGCTCTTAATCATGCTTCGTGCCAGTCTGTGGTGGAGGCCTGTTCAGCAGTGGACTCGGACAGGCTGAAATGATAATAATGATGATAATGATCGTGATGGTGATAATGATGATTATGATGATAATCATGATGATGATGATGGTAATGATGGATATACTCACGCTGAGCTCCGGTGATGTACAGACGTAGTTCCAATCGTGCAAAGGGCGGGGCGCGGATTCCTCGCCCTCGGCGCCCACAGCTGTCTTTATGGAGTTGAAGACACCGGTCACAGTCCGCTGGAACAGCCTGAAGAGCGCACGCGCGCGTGTGAAAGAGACAAAATCAACGGACAAGGATAGACACACACGAGCGGCAAAGGAACGGAGAGATAAATTATTAATAAAAAAACCAACTTGAAATATCTCGTTTGGTATTCATTTTATAATTGATTTTCAGGAGTTCCCTGAGTATCTCCGGAGCCCAAGGTCCAATACCCATGAAATTAATATGGGGTCACATGGGAAGCACCAACTTTTAAATAAAAATAGAATCATCAAAATCGATTCACTCAGTCGAAAGTTCTGAAGTAACAAACATAAAAAAATACAGTCGAATTGAGAACCTCCTTCTTTTGAAGTCGGTTGATAAGAGAAAGAGAAAAGAAGAATTGCGTTTGAAGTCTCGGGACGGACAGTGATTAGTTAAGATCGTGAAGATCGCGCCCGTGGAATTTTATTAAAGTTAAAGATATTAGTACAGATAGTTGGCGCACTTTGGGGGAGGCTTACGTTCAGCAGTGGACGGCAATAGGCTGATATTGTATTGTATTGTATACTAGTACAGATTCTTATTAAAGTTTAAACTTTTAGACGGTTCTATTTTCATTATTGTAATGGTATTAAAGTAAAAGTAAAGTAACAGCCTATACATGTCCCACTGCTGGGCAAAGGCCTCCTCTGTACAGGGGTATCAGGGCATAGTCCACCACGCGGCCCCACTGCGGATTGGCGGACTTCACATATCTTCGAAAAATATATATTTTTTTTGTTATTATTTCGAAAATATGCAGGTTTCCTCACGATGTTTTCCTTCACCGCGGAGCACGTGATAAGTCAGCACTTAAAGTTAAAAACTTCATTGGTGCCCGCACCGGGGATCGAACTCAGGTTGCTCGAGTATATTGAATTAAAGGCGAGCGCCCGGACACTGAGCTATCACGGCTCGATGTAATAGTAGTGTAATAGTAGTATTACAAGAGTTTAAATGAGGGTTGGTTCAAAATCCATGAAGATCGAAACACGTGAACAATATGGAAGTAAAATAGAACTATTATTGTCAAAGTTGAAAGGAGGTAACATAATACTATTAAAAGTCAAAGTTACCGTGAAACTGTAACAATAAAGATCGAGAACCAGACTTAAAGCATATTTAGCTATTTAGAAAGAGAAAGGAAATAAGAGACGAATTAGGTTCAGGAATTGAGTATCACTTTAGAAAAAGTCTGACATTGGATTATCCCGGAATATTCTTCAAATACTATAACGAAGCAGAAGTTCGAGTATATTTACCAAGAACATGAATAATCTTGAATAAATCAGCATCGCAACAAAATAGAAGCTCCTTAGTCAGCATTAACTTGTTACAATGACAATATTGACGTCTAAACAGTTTTAAAAGATATTAATTAACATCGAAATTCGGACGTGGAACGTGCTAGAACGTTATGTGGACCACAAAGTCGAAAAAGAAGAAAAAAGTGAAGAAAAGGAGAATTTAGAAAATAAAAGTAAGAATCTCTTATTTTCATACTTTTATTATCTAAATTCTCCATTTCTTCACTTTTTTCTTCTTAGCTCTCTAGCTATCATGACTAATGAAGTGACGTTTATTATACCGGCCTTACACTCCAGTTCCCTTATAATATAAATATAATAATGTCAAATATGAAAGCCTAAGAAAATATCGAACTAGATGATAATATCCAGTTCGATATTTTCTTAGGCTTTCAATTAACTTAATAACATTTTACGATAACTACTAACAAAGGAATCCTAACTAAACAGACACTACACATGACATAAGGGATTAAGAAAAACCTCTGATTCATTATAAAATCTCTAAAGATCAAAAGTTTTAGCACTTTCAGTATCATAACAATTAGTACTTACCTATCCAGCCTCTGCATATTGTTTGTGGTCTGCCCGGGAGATGAATTTCTCTCCATTGTCATATCGTACTCGTCTGAAGAAAGCGTTTGAAGAAAATAACAGCCAGTATAATTGTCCCACTGCTGGGCAAAGGCATCCTCAACACGTAAGATATTAGGGCATAGTACATCAAACAACGCCATTGCGTTCTGAATTAAAGGCAAGCACCTGGCATCTAAGGTTCAATATCAAAGAAATCAATATGGAATTATGGGAGCTGAAACCAACGCATAAAGAATTTTTAAATCGGTTCACACAAATTCAGGTCACAAACACAAAAAAATACCACCCCACAACCTTTTTTGGGGTAGGTTCAAAAGAATCCAAGACTCGTTGGCGCAGTTGCACAGCTATAGGTTTCGGCCCCGGGAGTTGTGGGTTAGATTCCCACAAGGGACAAGTGTTTCTGTGCCCCATACACAACCGTTCCGAATCTAGGTGTTTTTTCTCCACGAGGGGTGACAGGCACTCTCGTAGAAGGGTTCCATACCATTACTTATAAAAACGGCAAATAATAATAAATAAAAATAAGGTTTGACACTTAATTTTTTTTCTATTTTTAAGTATTTGTTGTTCTTAGCAACAGAAATAGATCATCTGTGAAAATTTCAACTGTCTAACTATCACGGTTCATGAGATACAGCCTGGTGACAGACAGACAGACAGAAAGCGAAGTCTTAGTTATAACTTCTCTCTTCTCGTTTTAACCTTTGGGTACGGCACCCTAAAAACTATCCAAAACCGTACAACATGACTCACATGTTGTACCACCCACACCACTTCTTTCTCTCATAAGGACAGGAGAAATAAGAAGAGATTGAAACGAATCGAATGACACAGAGATAAGACACCACACCAACCAGCGAGTGTTGCCGTGTCGACCGGCCGCGACGAATGGTGGTGTTGGGTTCGACCCCTCGTCTCCTCGGCGCCTTCCCACCAGATGTCGTCCGACCTGCACAGAGTATCAACTCCAGTCTATTCTAGCTTAATCAAAGTGTTTAAATATCTGTATATTACGAAAAAAACTAATGCGTCGCTTAGAATGAAATTTAGTTCCGTGCCAATGCTACTTGAAGTCGTAAAAAAGTTAAGTAATAAGTAAATTAGTACTTAAAAGTAAATTAAAAAAGTATACTAATTTATCGATCAAAAAGATTTCAAGAGACAGTAATAAATGAAACTAATTTTACTGATTTATCGCATTTATTTTAATTTTAATTCAGTAGTTCAAGGACAGTAATACTCAAGAATTTATTATATCCGGCCCGAAGGACCAACAAAGGAAAATGATTCCGTGTGAGTGAGTCCGTTAATTATATGTATAATTTTACTGCAGTAGAGCCGAGCAGCAATTTCTGCTTTTGCACAAGTGGCAGTCCCAGGGAATAATACCGACCTGTTGCTTAGTTTGGAACTAGAGAACATTGTGTAAAAAAGCGACCCGCCCCGGCTTCGCACGGGTGCAATGTATTATATGTATAAACCTTTAATCACTGTATCTAGTAACCTCATCAACATAGTTTTTAAGATCTGAGCATACATAGGGACAGACAGACAGCGGGGCGACTTTGTTTCATACTATGTAGTGATTTATTTATTTATTTACATTAAAATCTGATTTTATGCTGAGAAAATAACCGAACTGACTACTACAGTGTCTGAACTGACTACCACTGTCACCTGTGGTGGGCCGTCTCGGCCCTCTGCTGCAGCAGGCACCGCAGCTTGGCGATGCTGGTGGACAGGTCGGCGGCCTCCTCGTATTCCGGCTCCGGGGAGTCGGTCATGGGCCAGCTACCAGAGCCCCTCACCTGGACCGGCTGCCGGAGGGAGTGTATCTCAGAAGGTGTTCCCCAGCACCAGCTCTAGCGTTAAACCAAGCTCCGTTGAATGTAAGGGACAGTGAACGTCTTGCCACACTCACCATACTGTCTTGTGACGTCACCCGATGTTGTTTCACCAGCGTGTGGATTGAGCCGTTTTCCTCTGGGGAAAAAAATCATAATTTCTATTACTCTTTCTAATTTTTATATAACTCTTCATGGCCATTTTCTTATATATATTTCTCTTTTCCCTATTTTATACATTTCATAGCCATTTAGTTTCATTCACATGCGCTAATCCCAGAAGGCGGTAAACGTGGTTCACCTGCAATTGAATCATCACCACACCATGGAAAATTTCAGGATCTGTGGAGAAGCAAACGCGTTGCCAACTTCAACGTCCAAACTTCACTCACCGCACAAAACGGAAAAGCATAGATGCGTTTATTTCCCTTTTGTCTCATGTGAGCCTGTGTAATTCTCCGAGTCCGCCCAATTTGTGTGGCGTAAAAGCTGTTATAAAAAATAATATACCAGATATGACCACAAAATGTTAAAACTAATAAATATTTCTCCTTTACTTCCCACTCCCTACATTTTTCTAAACTTTCTACACAAAGATAAAAGTAAAGTAAAGTAACAACCTATACATGTCCCACTGCTGGGCAAAGGCGTTCTCTATACAGAGGGTATCAGGGCATAGTCCACCACGCGGCCCCACTGCAGATTAGCGGACTTCACATATTTTCGAAATATAATTTTTTTTGTTATTTTTTCGAAAATATGCAGGTTTCCTCACGATGTTTTCCTTCACCGCGGAGCACGTGATAAGTCAGCACTTAAAGTTAAAAACTTCATTAGTGCCGGCACCGGGATCGAACTCAGGTTGCTCGAGTATATTTAATTAAAGGCGAGCGTCCAGACACTGAGCTATCACACAAACATACTCTTTCTTTACTTTACCCACTCCATCTCTCTCTTATACATTGGTTTTCTCTCTCTCTGTCCCTCTCTTTGTTCTGTTACCTTTGCTCGCGATTGGTATCTCCCTGTGCTCAGTCACCTGAGCCCTTCCCCTGCCCAAGTCTTGTGGAGGAGATATCTTCTCTGCCCCCCTGTCTCTACTTTGGTGCAATGGTGATTTCTCCTATGGAAATATGCACAGATATTCATTAATACCTTAGCATACTATGTACAGTGTAATTATAAATATAAATTTTAGTTGTCTTCAACAAGACCTGTCGAGGCATACTACTTCTTCAATTTTTTCCGGCAGTCTCTAGTAAACACATAAACTTCATACAAGGGATTGATATAAACATAAAAGCTTTTAGGTGCATGCTTGGCTTTTCCCCACCAAAGCGAGAGTATTAGTAAATAAAAAATTATCACATCACCACTCACTTGGGAGTCATCACTGAGCCCCGTAAAGCGAAGACCCTTCTTTATTCCAGCGATCCCAAAGTCCAGGAGTCCTTCCATCATGCCTGCCGCCTCGTCCTGGGTGAAGCAGCACATCAAGAGTGATGATGGGGAATAAGGACATTGATATAATTAAATCTTGAAACATTTTACAAGAAAGCTTAGAGAAGACAAATATCTTTTTAGGTCTATAAGAAAGTTATATTTTAGAGTAGTTGAAAAACCTTCCCAAGCTGAAAATTTGAAAATAGAAAGTCCATCACAATCCATGCATCACCCACCCATAAGCACACCACAGCTGTAGTATACATGCAACGTTAGCAGATATTCATGCAATTGAATTTGGGAATACATAATATAGATTAAAGGCAATATCAATCCTAACAATATAAGAGGAATCATTGGCTAGTTTTTAGAAACCCTAAGCATTCACACCAAGCATGTAGCCAGACTCTCTATTCTTCACAACCACGATGAGAACAAAGAATGACTTTTAAATTTGTTAAGTGTAATTATCATTAATGTAATAATACTAGCTGCAACTTCATCTGCGCTAAATCTACCGGGTTCATACGTTTCGACTTTTAACATAGCTGTCTATTGTATACTTACTCTTCGACTATTGTACAACCTACAATAGTGGGGATCGACCCCACGCCCGTAATAGAGGAGATCCCACAAAGTGGCAGGTTCATTACTCCCCACGCCAATTGAGTCGTCAATAAAAATGCCTTCTACAGTTTACTTCCTGTATGTATATCAATATTTCTCTACTATTACAACAAATACTAATAACAATACCCATTCAACATGCCTATAAAAATGTATAACTATGTGGTACTAGTACACAATTTTGAGTTAAAGCGACACAAAGCAAAAGATCGTGCATAAGAGACATACACTGGAATGCTTGCAGGGCACATCTAGGTTTGATATTGGGACCTGTAGGTCTCCTATCTTGCTCTTAGCCTGGTGGACGGTGCTCTGAATGTCCTTGAGGAGCACTTCAGTGGGTTTAGGACTGCTCTCCTTCTTGACAGGGCTGGGCTTTTGGGGGCTGGTGTCTCCACACTCCAGTTCAATGGCATCTTCCTCGCCTATTAAGAAATATCTATAACTAATTCCTGTGTTTAAGCTGTCTGTGTCTGTATGTAATTGTCTCTGTAGGCATGCAATAAAAACGCAGCAGAAGCTCTTAAAATCAGCTTATGACATCCACAGCAGTAAAGACAAAATCATTAGGGCTGTCTGCTGCTGTTCATACCACAAAAATGTTTAAATGGCACATTTAAAGAATAATTATTCTGTAATAGTAGTCATATTATTAATTATTAATTTAGGACTGCAAGACATCAATAAAGTTTGCATTTATATGAGAATAATAAAACACATGAAAATTTTGGGACAAGAAACAACTCCAACTAGAAAATATCACTAAAGATTATAAAGTTTAAGAAAATGCATGATACTTATTATTGTAATAAACTTACCAAACCAGAATGGCTGTGGTGATTTAGCTCGTGGAGGGTTTGGGCTACCATCAGGGTCAACATCTTGTCCCCATAGCCGGCTGAGCGTTATCTCGCCATCCAGGCTCGCAAGTAGATCCTGCCCTAAGCTGATGCATTGCAGGTCCATGTCAGTTTCCCAAGTTTTCATACTGCCTACAATATTAAGTAAATTAGGAAATAAGAATAGCAGAATCACCTATATAAACTTCACAACTACTACCATTTTTATGATTATTTTCATTACAATAACAAAGTCAATTAAGGTTTTTATGATGGTCTAATACACTAAAACCAGTACCTAATGTGATCCCCATTACAAACAAGATTTTCAAAAATTTATAACTAACTTAGACTTAGCTAGCACAGTAAACATTAAAAAAAATTGGAAAACATTAAAATAATACCTTCAATAACTCTATCATAAATTTTCACTTCATTTCTTCCTTGCCTGCCCCTTCTTTGCCTTAAAATTGGAGATGATTTTATATCCATAGGCTCCGTGGTTTGAATAGGCACTTCTTCTATTATACTTTCCATTTTTTCTGGGACATCCTTCCTGCCTTCTTCATCAAGCTCTCTCCTGGGAGTTACAGTGACAGCTTTCGTAACAGGTGAAGAAAATGTAGATTCCACCGCAGAATATATTGGATTACCTTCTGTAAAGACTTCAGGTTCCTCTTTCTTCAATTCTTCATTGCCTTCCATTCCTTTGATTAGGGCCTCTGCTTTCTTTTCTTCATTCTTTCCTTTTATCAATGTCAACAGTTTATCATTTAACCAAACTGGATCAATTAGTGTGTCATTTATAAATGTGTCCAGCTTCTTTGCCAATACTCTCACAAGTAGTTCGGAGTGCGGAGTGTCCCAGAGTTCCCAGGGAATAAGTTCCTTAAGAACAATTCTAAGCAAATTTATGCAGTGATCTGCACATTGGTATTGTTTGTCATTTGAGGTTGGATGAGATTTCTTATATAAGGACTCCACTGGATGGGAAGGAGACTCTTCATGCCTCTTCAAAGCTTTGCTGTATTCCTTGAAATGGCTTGTAAGAACACAACAAATATCCACATAAACATCTTTATTGTCAATTTTTTCACAAATCTGAAACATGACGACTTCATTCAAATTTCAACAATCCAATCTCATATCTACCTCACATACATCTGGGACAAGAATTTTAATAAGTGACACTTTTTGAAACATTTTATTATTGTATTTTTAAATGTTTATTTTCATTTTAAATCATAACATTCTGAGTATTTTGACATCTTCACAGTCATTATACAAAATATAAATCCATAAAAAAGTAAACATTTAGCTACATATTGTATTCATACATAAATTAAAATAAAATAACAATAAGAACAAAATATTCTATTTAAAAAATGGGTATGGTGAACATAGAAAATATATTAACCATAGCTATACTTAAAAATGATGAAACAAAATTCATTCTTTACCTACAAGTGCTTTCAGATTTGTTCTGTAATTTTTAACAATCATGGTATTTGTAAGTGCAGAAATAAATTGTCAGGTGTAAAAAATAAAAATATACATTCAATTTATCTCAATAAGGTGTCCATTTCTAGGCATAAATTTATTACTTGGCCTGAAAAAAGGCAATGGCTGTAAACATTCTAGTAGATAATTAATTTTAATAATGATACCAAAAATTCAACTAACTTGGAAAGCCTTGCTAATCATTTGATCCAGCATTTGTTTACACGCAAACGGAAATCCGATTTCTGGCGATATATACTCCATGTACCATGAAGACACCAGTTTCCTCTCCAATACCGTAGATATAACGCTAAGCTCGTTTGTATCATATTCTTTCGCTTCTTTACGCGTTTTATTTCCTGAAGAAGGCAAGATACCTGACAAAAATGATAAAGATGGGTATTTTTTTATAAGACCATCGATATCGTATTTAACCGGTTTGTTCAAATGCAATAACCACTGGATAAATTTAAAACTGAAAAGCACTGAAATCACGAAAACTGTAAATAAATACAAATGAAACCATATTCCAGTCAAAGGAGAAATGTTGGTAACATAATTAAGTAGAATACATATCACTGAACCACTGGAAGATATAATAGTCAAGTATTCAAGTAAATTCCTTTTCAGCAACATATTAAACTATTTTCTGTAACGAATGAAAATTAAAAACGATCCTGTCGTATCGATCTACGATCATAACAAACAATTAACAATAACAACCAGGAAAATGATAAAAAAGACAAGTGTTGCATCATTGCTTACTGTCGCCTGTCAAGTGTCAATGTCAAATAAAGTGGGCGTTGCGACGACGACGAACAGTTTATAAAGACGGTTTTGTGTTCTGGGATCAGGTACGATGAAACTGTTTTACGTCCTGGGTTCAAACAGTCTGAGTTCAAAAATCGAGTCGAGAACGCAATGATTCAAATATCGTCCGTTGCATCGTTCGTTTACAAAATAGTCTTTGCAATTTACAAATGAGTTTTTTGTGCATAACACAATACAAAGGATACAAAGGTCAAACCCGTGCGAGTTTAGATCCTCCTAGTTAAAGTTTAAAGTTGAATTGCATGAAAAATTGAAACGTGAATTTTTTCCCATCCGAAATAACGCAACGTCTATAGAAGTTTTCACTTAAAAATATTTGTTTTATGAATAAAATATGGAAATTTAAAAACGCAATAATTTAACGCCCGTACTTTTTTGAACAACAATAAGAGCGAATTTGATAGAACAATAATGAAATAAACATATTACGATAAAAGTTTTAGGCAGTTTAACATGCAAGTCACGAAGCGTGTAGTATATGCGGCCACATACAAGAGAGCCATAGGCGGCAGCGTGAAGGGGGCATGATGGCATCAGAGCGTCATACCGTTTATCGTTTGTAGTGACGACAAACAGTCGATTTTACTACCTTGCGACCGACTTCAAAAGAATAAAAATAATAAGCCAATAAAGTATAAGCCAATTATGTTTTGATTCCATTTTAGTAAAACAGATTCTAATTCTTTTTTTCGCTATGTTAACAATATTTTAAAGAAACAATAACCGAGGCAACCCGTCTGCAACCTGTTGCACATTTCCGTGGGTGGTGGTTATTACAACATTTGATGAACCGCCAGCTTGCCACCTTCGAACATAAAAAAAAACAAATGTAAGGAGCAGTAAACCTATCGAGTATACTACAGTATGAGATAGTAAACAGCTCATACTTCACTGTAGCAACCAAAGGGAATGTATTTTACGTGGTAGCAACGGAGCATCCGTAACAATAAAACTTTGATGTAGGGATGCCGAAAGTCGAAAAAAATATCGATATGTCGGTCAAAAGTCAGTATTAAAAAGTAATATATTTAGTTCAGTCTGATTAAATAATAAGTAATAATAATTTTTATACCAAATTCACATATTCATATATTAATTTAAAAATTTAAAATTTTCTTTAAACGTTAATTATTTATTAATTTTAATAAAATTTCTTTTATTAATCTAAATTTCTAGTTATGTTATTTATCAAGACCTTTATTGGAAAAAACACAGCTTATTCCGTAATATAAATCAGTTTCTTTAGCCCTGAATCGAATCAAAAAACAATTAATTAAAAAGCATGTAACTTTGTGAAAAAACAAATAATTATTTACGAAGTTAATAATGAAGAAACCCGCAGAGACTTGTCCTAAATGATAGGCCTAGATGAACAGAATTTAGTAATAGTTGTTTGATTGACATGAAAATGCTGATATTGAGAATGAGAATTATAAAACATGTAGAAAAAGTACGAAAAGATTGTCGCCGCTGTGGGAATCGAACCCACGTCTTCGGCATTCGCGGCCTGACGCTCTAGCCACTGAGCTAAACGGTTGATAGCCACAGTGACGAAAACCTTAACGCCTTCTTTCTACATTGTTATTTAGCATTTGAAGAGCATTTGACAATAGATGCGCCAAGCATTGCTTCAAATGATTATGCGTGGGTTCGATTCCCACAGCGGCGACAATCTTTTCGTACTTTTTCTACATGTTTTAATGTTCAGTCTTAAGTGCAGAGATTAGCACTATAAAAAACTTTAAAATTTATAAAAAGCACTGGCGACATCTCTCGTGCGAATTATCGTTGTAAAACGATATTTGATATTGTTTGTATGCTGGAAAGGATATAACAATAGATGCGCCAAGCATTGCTTCAATCAGTTTCAATGTTCAATCTTAAGTGCAGAGATTAGCACTATAAAAAAAATGTGTGCGTGTACTAGCGTACACTCGTAAGAAGTGAAACTTTTTTATGACGTTATTTTTCAAAAAATAATTTACTATATGCAACTTTACAGAAATTGGTTAAATAAAGTTAAATTAGATAAAGTTTAATACAAGGCTTTTATTATCATAGACATAAATACAAATTCTAAAATTATTTCATTTTAGCTTTGTATAATATTATAGGTGGCGTTAGTAATAAATTAAAACACACTATGGTTTGACCGTTGTAATTAGTATGAGGGTCCGCAAAAATTGTTGATTAAAAACCGCCGCGCATCCCAACCCGCTAATCGTAGGTGCCGCCACCTACAGACCCCTGCCGCTAGGTACGTTCCGCCGCAATCACCGTAGACCGCGACACGTTCTCGATTTCCCTGACGATGAGACGACTATCGCCATCGAAAGGATTAAAAAACTTCGCAAACACACCAACACAAACCGCACTCGCCGGCGAGTGCGGCAAACATATACTAGGTTCCGCCACGTACCTGGCAGGTTCTCCCCAGTTCAAGATAGAAGCGTTGCTGGAGTTTCTTCCGCCACTTTTTCTCCCAGCGCCAACGCTTTACGAAGTGGTAGTAACGATAGCTCTAGAGATCCCCCCAGTCAGATAACAGCTACCGATCGAGCCTAGGTCCGGCCCTCTCGGGCACCCTCGAATCGGAATGCTAAACGCGTGCTGAGTGACAGCCCAAGCCGAGGTCCCCTCTCGGGGACCCTTGAGCCAGATCACTCCATGGAGCCCCCGCCAAAGCGCCCTAAGAGCTAGGCGGCCTCCCAAACCGGTGAATTAAATAGCGTGACGGCCCGAGCCGAGGTTCCTTCGGGAGCCCTCGAGCTTAGTCACCATAACGCGTAATAGTAAATACGCGAGGTTCAGGCTAGGCGCCTCGAGCGCCCGGCCACCTCAAGTCCGTCGGATCTGTGAAGGCCCCTAAGGCCAACAGTGGCTCACCCAGCCAAAAAAAAAAAAAAAAAAAATTGATTAAAAAACTTGCAACGTGAACCTTGTTTATTTCAATTAACCTCACGGACCCAAAATACAACCGCTTTGAATTTGTACATGGTCCATTTGACTCGCGCGCGAGTGTTGTGAGTGAAGTTTTTTTGGAAAACCGAACTTGCGGACGTTGGATCGACGTCGCAACCGCAAGTTCCAGGAGCCGATCGAGGCTTCGAAGAGCATCATCGGTCAGCTTCAGATTGTGTCTTCGGTGGAAGGCGCAGTCAGGTCACGGTGGGCGGTGCCTGCCTTTGGAGAAGAGGAAGTCCCTACAGTGTCGTGCTCTGAAGTATTAGAGCTAGCACTGTCATTACTACAAAGATTATTATTGAATTTCATTAATTGTAATAGAATTATTACTATCATTGATGTCGTTATTATATATTTGTGTTATTAATGGCTTATGGTAACTGAAATACGAAATATATTGTTTACATTTTAGAATTAGAATTAAAATAAACCCTTTGATTTTGCTGATCACGTTAATATAACATATATATATATTGCTATGAACACACAAAGGAACTAACGCCATCTAGCGTCAACTATTAAAACCACTAAAGAATAAAGACGACATAAAACCCCCTATTCAACACTAGATGGCGTTAGAGGAACATTTTTAAGATAAAAAAAAGATGGTGCGTAACAGAAAAATGTTACACTAACCCCGATAAAGAAGTTTCACTTCAAAAAAATATTGAGAATTTAATTATAATTAAATTTAAAAAAAAATTAAATTAAATTAAAGTAACTGTTGGAGTATATAAGGATTTTAAATAGGGAAAGGGTTTAAAATGATGCAACTAGATAGTTAACTTCGGACGATTCTTACTATGTATTAAAACGAATGACAACGAGGGTAAATAATAAAACATAAGGAGGATTAACAACCTGTCTTAAAATTAACTTAATCTAACACTCGAAAACATTGCCTGGACGAAAGACGCAGGCGCTTTAACATGCCCCCGGGCGTTGAAAGCCACGATTTCAACCAGAATCAGGTGACACTGGCAATGGACAGATTCTACTGAACGACCTCCGGATGACTCCAGCTGAAGTTCTGATGTCGGCAACTCGAACTATGCCGTCGGGCCCAGGATGGATTGCGACGATTCTTCCAAGCTTCCATTTCAGTGGAGGAAGGTTATCTTCCTTTATAACCACCAAATCATTTAACTTTAGGATATCCTTACAGGAACGCCATTTTACCCTTTGCTGCAGCTCGGATACATACTCCTTACTCCATCTTTCCCAAAAATGCTGACGCAGTTGCTCAATGCGTTGGAATCTAGTTAAAAGAGGAGTGGAGCTATGCTGGTAGTCTGGTTGTGGTAAAGAAGTCAATGCCCGTCCAATCAGAAGATGTCCTGGGGTCAGTGGTGTGCAATCTGCAGGGTCTGAAGACAGCGGAGTGAGGGGTCGAGAGTTCAAGATTGCTTCAATCTGATTCA